GTTTTCTAGTTATGTGAAAAGGAATTCGTTATTTACATTGTGTCATAAATTTTTGTAGGGTGAATGTATGCAAGTAATTTCTAGAAATAAAATTATTATATATATAAATGTTTGATTAAAAGTTACGAGAAAATATCACTTATTTATTTTTAAGTTTATTATAATTTTTTGTTTTAGAGTCAAATTTAGAATTAGATTTGAGATAATTTATTATTTTTTAATATATATAAAATATATTATTTAAGTTTGTGTTAAGTACGGAATAAATTATTAATTTTTAAATATATATAAAAATTATTTTTTACCTATTTAAAATTCATATCTGATCATATTTAAATTTAAATTAATATTTTCTAAAGTCATGTAGAAAATTTAGGTTTATATGATTGAATATATATATATATATATACATATATATTGAAATTTAAAGTTAAATTAGTATCTACATGTTTAAATATTTAGAAAAAAGGAATCTATGTTTGAATATCTAAATACATCATCATGATTTCGCAATATGAAATTATGAGTTTTAATTTTCAAATTAGATTATTTCAATTTTTTTAAATAAAAAGGATTAATTTAAATTCCAAAATTCAAATTAAATAAAAGGATAAATTTTTAAGTTAGACTAGTTTAAATTTCAAAATCTAGCAATTAGGTTAGATTAGCAATTTAAATTCAAATTTTCCTCTCACACATATACAATATTGATTATAAATAAATATGCTTGACTACGATTTCATTTTATGCTTCCAGCTTTGATTAATTTTAGTATCATTCATAAGCCTATTGTGCAAATAGTATATGAAAATTATATTTCAGTGGCTCTCATATATTTTCATCACTAATATTTACTTTATCTTTTATTTGTTTATAGCAAGTCTATCTTCACGTCTCATTCCACTATAGCATTGGCATATAGATTTCATGTTAATCATACTATCAACTAGTTTAATCAAGAATGACAAATCACAATTTGGGTAATTCATTCCTAAAAATGCTTTGTCTAAAGTTATCAAACAAATCAAATGGTATGGAGTTAATATTTCAAGATGTCAAGTTAGTCTTTGTGACTATGATATTACATAAAAATAATGCCAGTTTCATTTCTATATATTATTAACTAATTTATGCATGTGCTCCCTTTTTATAAGGTGATCAAATTGTCATAATTGTTTGAAAGCTTTTTATGAGTTGTTTTGCTAATAAGTTGCAACTAGTAAAAATATGAAGTTTTAAAGTTTGGTGTTTAAAGTGATAAATTGATAGCTCGAATTTTAATTCATGTATATATCAACATTAATCAACATCATCTTCATACTATGGTTTTTAAATGGTTATTTTATTTTTATTTCTTAATTTAAACTTTTTTTATTAATAATTCACATTTAAAATTTCCTCCAACACTAGCATAGGCATGTGCTTCCTTATTATGATTCTATGTTTCTAGATACTTTTTTTTTTTGCAATTTTTTATTTCAAGAGCTGAGTCGACCTTGAATCTTGATTTGTGGTTAAGTTTACACATACAAACTAAAAAAGTAGTTATAATATGTATATCTTTTAAATATAATATATTATTTTTATTTGCCTTCAACTAAATTTAAATTTTTAAAATATAAATTCATTTATTTGAAAACGTTGTTATGAACTCATAGCCCAACATTATGAAATATCAGGTTTTGAATTTTAAATATATTATTTAAAATTTTAAACAAGCACAATAAAATCTCAAATAATAGATTTTTTGAAAAAATAAAACATTTTTCAAGAGAAAATATGAAACAAGAGGAAACTAAAATAATTAGAAATTTATTTTTTTTAATTTTGATTATTTTTAAAAATTTAAATAGACATCATAAAATTTGGCTAAATAAGAAACACACATCATAGAAACTTATAAAATATTGTTTTTTAAAAAATTGATTTTTTTATAAAATAAGTTGAAGCAAACGGGTTATCTTTAAAAAAGATATATTTTATAGAGACTTTATAAAAAAAAACAGATATTATTTTATATTTGTCAACAATAATAGAAAGTGCCTATTATTCAGTTATTTTTTGATTATGTAATCAATCTATCTTGTTTAATCATAATGTTTACATGAAAATAAAAGTAGGATTAGCTTTTATGATATTTCTACGATTCTATATTTGGGAGTATCTTCCCTACAATTTATATGATTCAGGAGTCATGGATGGTCGATTCCTAAGTTGCTCCAGGATAACATTTTTAATTTTTAAATATATAAATTTAAAGAGTGTTTTAAAGAATGTATACCTTCATATGTTTAATTTTCTAATTTTGAAGAAAGCAACTAATTTATTAAAATCTTGTTTGATTTTTCGAATCATAACATAAATTAAAATTCAATTTGAGTTTGAATAAAAATTTAATTTAATTTAAAAATATTTAAAAATTAATATTTTATTTGTAAATACATGATTAATCTAATTAAAATAAAAAATATATTAATATAATCATCAAGCTATATTGATTTGCAAAAATTCTTGCATAAAAATTAGTATGTTATTGAATCAACAAAAAATTATCCTTGAATTAGGTTAAAATATGCATTTGAATTTAAATATAATTTATTTTTGAATTGGTAATTTTTAACATATTAATCTAAATGAGATAAAAATCAAATATGTAAATGAATATATTATTGACAATTTCAATACCTGGTCATTATATATGATTGACAATTTTAATTCAAATCTAATTATGAAGTACTGTTCTTTATATTTACCGATAAAATAATAGTACTAATTAATTTAATAATTTTTAATTGATAATTTTATTTAATTAGTAAGTATTGGGTGATGATTAAATAAGATAAATGTGCAAAAAATCAGCTAATTAAATATGTAAAAAAATATCAAAGTTGCATTTTATTTTTTAAAAAATAATTTTCAAAATAATTCATACCTTCCATATAATTTCAAAATATTATAATTTGAGTGATAGGCTAATAATATCAATCATTATATTTAAAATAAAAAAAATGAAGTATATGTATCCTTATGCTAATTATGAACACCGTATTTTATTTAAGCCTCAATAAATAAATACGGTAACATTCATAATAAAATAATAATAAAAAGAAAATAATAAGAATGCAAATAAGAAAAATATTTTATAACAAGAAAATAAATAAATAAAAAAATCAAAAGGTATTGGATATGAAGATAATAAAAAATGACACAAATATAATCAAGCTAGATCACAATCGAATATAATAATGAGCTATAAATATTTAAATATCACAAAATAAAAAGAATATAATCTAATCTAATATTATGATTTAAAGATTTTAAGATAATATAATATCTAATATTAAGATTTGAAGATTTTAAAATAATACAATAATTAGAATATAATGATAAATAAGATAACAATTAATATCTAATTTTTAAATAATAATAATATAAGAATATATAAAAAATAGTTACATAAATCATGATACAATTGAGATTTTAAAAAACCCTAGAATAGAGGTTTATATAAAGAAAAGTAAGGGACGGCCAGAGAGACTTAAGAAAGAAAGAAAGAAAAAATAACAGAAATCTAAATTAATCGAGATTCACAAAAGTAAGTCAAACTTTCCTTAAGCTATAGATGTACTTGTACGTTAGTAAAAGATTTTAAAAAGTTAGGTCTTAAAGCTTTAAATCTTAAATCCTTTAATGGTTATCATTATATTAAATATTAGCCTGCACATAAGCTATTTGTCGTCTCTTGAATAATCCTTAAATGTTCATCTCATACTTTTGTCTTCATGTGTGGCCCCATGTGCGGAGGAAATCACTATCTACCCTTGAAAAAATCACTTGATTGGCCCTTAACTTTAATGTGTATAATGATGGCTTAATATACTCTTCAACATCTCATTTTGTAATTGACATTTTGCTTGTGTTGCTGTAATATGTGTGTGTACTAATTAAATTGATTGAAAAGTTTTGATACCATATGTTACTTTGAACTAATTAAATTTGAGGATAAATTATTAATATATATATCTACAAAATATTTTATATTCTTTTAATAATGTGAGACTTTTAAAGTCTTCACCATTATTTAAATTATTTAATTTATCATGAGTAGTGATAAATAATCACAGCACATCAGTAAAAGTATTTCATATTTTTTTTGATTGTGAAAGACTTCCAAAGTTCACGCAAACTTATAATTTAATTAATTTATCATTTTACATGGCAATAAATTATTATATATACATAGTTTTAAAATTATTAGTTGCATGAGACTTTCAAAATCTTCTCAAATTCATAAGTCAAATGATTTATCCTACACAATGATAAATTATCACTAATACATATTTTAAAAATTTTATCCTTAAATAAAAATAAAAAATTTTCTAAAATAAATAAAATAAAATAAATTATATTTGGAAGACAAATTTTGAATATATAAAATTTTCATAAATCTTATTAAAATATTTTTTCCAAAATTATTTCTCATAAGTAAAGAAATAAAATACTTTCATAAATAAAAACTGCAAACCAACATTAAAAATTATTTTATAAGAAATTAATATTAAATTTTCTTAAAAAATTTCCAATCAAGATATACACATTTTTACCCCAAACTACATAAACTTTAATCCCTCAAACAAGCACATACGTCTTAGGGTTCATCATAGATTAAATCCAACTTATAAATAAATAAAATTTTTCCCTTCAATTTTCTTATTTTTTCATCTTATTATTTATTACAGATAATTAATATATTTTTTAAAACCATTTAAATTTATATAGTTAACTTAAGGCAACCATTCACATGAATAAATGTTGTGAGATGTCTAATACCTTCTCCACATACAATCAACTCAAGTACCCTTTTCTCTATCCGTATACCACATGTTCAAAAGATTTTAAAAATTACCCTTTAAAATTTTGATGATGACTCCTAAATATTTATTTTTATTCAATTTTCCTCAAAAATTTTCAAATCAGGCATAACACAATATATTAGTAAATGGAGAAGCCAAGCATGAAAATTTTAACTAATAAGGATGGAGAGGCCAAACATAAAAAATGTCAAGATTGCACATTGATCTATCACGGTGAAAACAACAAATGAACAATCAGATTGTATGAATATGTTAGATGAATTTGGTATAATAAATTGGCACCAGGAATACAGGTTGGATTATATGAATTGGCCTGAATAACTGATCATAATGTCAGCTTGCGTTGAGAAAAAATTAACATCCATGCTATTAGAAAAGAAACAAATTACAAATACTTCATAAATAGAAATTAATCTAACTACTTGGAGATGAAACACAATTTTAAATAATTCATAACTTAATTCATGCTATTAGAACAGAAGTATAAATACTGCTTATATATCAACAACTAACATCCATGCTATTAGAACGAAAAAAAATTTATAGATGCTCCATACATAGAAATTAATTCTTGATCCTGAATCAATTCTTTCCCCATGACTTTGAACTACCCTACATCAGCACAATTTTATTTAATTAAGATGAGATGCCCAAGAAACTGAGTTTAACACTTCACATGTCAACTTATGAAAAATGAAAGGAAAAGATAACCTTTATAACTAATAGATGGTCAAGAAAGTTTAAGTTTTTTTTTTTTTTACTCATAACAAGTACATGTGCTATATTTCTTCTATCGTAAACGATGTCGGCAGTATGAATAAATATATCGATGATCGTAAAAACTTATATGCACTCACCAAAAGCCCTTAATTTCACATGCCCACTGTCAAGTCTCACCTTTTGATGTCTGGGGAAAAGAAAATGCCTGATCCTATAAGGCTACATGTAGTTACTGCAATTTAAATAAAGGCCATAGAGGGAAAAAAAAAGAAGAAAATAAATACAAATAATGCTCACCAGTACCAACCGAGAGCAACAATCTTCTCAGCACAACCCAAAAGCTGGTTTGACAAAAAAACAATAGCATCTCGCAACGAAAAGTGAGTTATTTAACTGAAAAGCAGGCTCATAGAGTAGCTGAACAAACGAGCTACGAGCCAGCAGCTAACTCGTGAGCTGACGTTTTTGTAGATTGAGTTTGATCAACCTGCTAGATAAATTAAGTTAAAAAATCTAACCCAATTCATTTTCCAGTAAATTAACTAACGCACTTGTAAAAAATTATCAAAATTTTTTTAATAATTTAAAATTTATATAATATAAATATATATATATATATATATATATATTTCATATTTTAAAAAAAAAATTAACAATTAAAAAACTTGTAAATAAATAAAATAAATATAAAATTCAACCAAGTAAATTTATTTTGCTAAATTTTTACTATCAATTATCTTCTTGCCTAGGTGTACTATCATTGTCATTGAAAAAAAAAATTTAAATATAAACCCATATTATTTTTCTCAGTAAATTCATATTTATAATTTTAATCAATAGACCTTATGAGATTAATAAATAATATATATTTAAAATAATTCTATAAAAATTAATAAATCATCTTCACAAACTATAATAAAAATTTTATTTGTAAATTATAAAAAATATTTACACTATATTTCAAATGTAAAGAATATATTCAAAAGTTATAAATTATATATTTAAAAAATATTATCATTATTGTAGATTTATAAAAAGATATAATGTAATTAAAAATATTATTTTTTCTAAAATATGCTAGCTAGGTTAGCCCGTCTTAGCTTGCTATTTTTGTAGGTTGGGTAAAACAGGTCAATTTTTTCAACCCAACCCCTCAAATTCTGATGATTAAATGAGCTAGCCGGCAGGTTCAATTCTTTTTTCCAACTCTATCATAAAGTATAATTTTAAGTCCAAGCAATCAAAACAACACCTTTTAATGTCAAAGTCTACTTTTTTTTTTGGCCACAATGTCATAGTCCACTTTAAAAATAATAAAATAATTTCTATGTGACAAAATAATCAATTCTTAGATTTATTCAAGATGAAATAAGAAGTCATAAACCAACTTTTTCTAATGTTCCTGGGCACCTATCAATCGTACTCAAGCTGTTTTGCAAAAATAACATTTGGGTACACAACATAAGATATCTTTTAATTGTATTACAAGAGATAAAAGTTATTTTAAATTTTGAATCTCCCCCCCATTGCTCTTTTTTTTTTTCAAACCCCTTTAGACACACTCTGACATCTATTCTTGCTCATGTTCAACGTATGTGTTTTCCCCTTTCATTTTTTTCCTTGTAAATGCAGAAGTTTCTTGAATCTTTGAACTACTTCCATGGCCAAGGATCTTTACCAGCCAACAGTGTGACAAAATAAAAGGAGCATTTATACTTTCACTAAATACAACCTAATACAAAAAAAAGTTAAAAGTAAGACACGAATGATATAAAAAAAAAATTCTTCAAACCAAGAATCAATGAACACTTGTTCAATCACCACTGTTTCGTAATCAAAGGTCAATAATTAGAAAGAGACGCCGAAGGTAACTCTAATAACTGGGCTCAAGTAAAGCTTAATAATACAATCAATTTTACAATCATTATTAAATTTAAACAAACAGATTGGTCTAGCTAAACATGATTTTAATCTTTGAACTTACCCACAAGCACCTCCTAGATCAACCTCATTAGGTGTCAATTTATCAAATCAAACACCAACTTTTGACAAAATATTATTAACATAAGACAACCTCCCCTGGCTTTCAGCCAACCACTTTGCCTGGTTTAAGAAAGCATAGCAAAAGCTAAGAGACTGATTTTGACTTCCACAAATTTTTACTTTGTCAAGTATAAAAAATGTTGAACCATTAGAAGGATTTTGAAAATCTATAGAATCTTATAAACAACAACTTTCAAGTAAAATAAAGTACCAAACACATTAATTTACTTTCCTAATTCTTTTATATAATTAAGCAATTCATTTTTCTCCTTCAAAATGGATAAAAGCCCTCCTCCATAGCCCTCGACACATAAAGGAACAATTTTGAACAGAGATCATTGTTAAATATTTAAGTCCAAAAAATAGAAATACCTAAATAAAAAGTTTCTCACAAGCATCTCAAAAAACATCTATCAGGCATGCATATTATAGAACATATATATCAACTTCGCGCAATTGCATTAAGCTGAGCTGAATTATCCCATTCATTCTGTATTCTTTATTTCAAAGACATACCAACAAAGTTCCATGAGCACCTAAACCAAACAAAGAATTTCTAAGGCTACAGATATGAATTAAACCAAACATATTGCCTCTTGTAGCAAATTCATTGAACTGTATTTGAGTCAAACAAAAATACATATCATATTATAAAAGAAAATTACCTGCGAGTAGCCTTACAAGAATGACATACATGCGAACGAAGCAATGGAAAAAGTTCAAGAATTTGGCTTTCATTTTAATCATTTTCATTTAAAAGAATTTGAAGGACAAATCCAGATTTAAAGATGAAACAAATATTTCTTAACACATTGATACAGATAGGTAATTTTTGCAAATACCTTGCCTAAGAGGCATATTCCTTGTGAATCCCTCCTATTCTTACTTGGCAGATAAAATTTTACAGCAAGTCACCTTCAAAATTTGAGAAGATCAAATTTTGCTTAATTATATCCAGTGAATACAAAGAACTTTGAGATGAAGGGAGCTTGGTGGGGACTATTAATGTCAATTTATGAGAATAACTTGACGGGAATAAATGAAATGAGTATTTGTGGAGCATAGAGAAAACAAATGAAAAGGAAAGTGGAGAAGAGGTTGAAGAACACGATTCCTACCTTCTTGGGAAGAGCTAGTTCTGTTAGATTCCACACAAGCACTAGTTCTTCACAAGCTCAGAGAGACGGCTGTGCCAACAACTTACATTTTGTCACCTTGCAAGCACACGCAGATGGCCACGTTTGAACTTTTCGCGATGCTGATAAATCAAAGCTCAAACTGGCGTTAAATCCCCCAATAGCCAAAGAAAGGGTGAATACATTTACGGCCATGTTTTGAACTAATAGATGAACACTACTTGCTCAGAATTGAAATAAATCGAAATAAATGACCACCAACCAACCAACAAAATCAATGGGAAGTGATATTTGCCGTCACTGAACAAAACCCTGGACTATTCCTTCTACTACTTTAGATCTTCTCGCTTTCTTCCCTCACCCACTTGGATCAATTCTTTTTGGGAGAAGTCGGGGTAAAGAGAGTAAGAGGGAAAGTAACACACGAAATCTCTTACAATGAGCGAAGAGCAAGGGTCGCTTGCGAGGAAAATCAGAGGGAGCAAGAAATCAAGAACTGGTGGCGGCAAGAGAGAGAGGAGGAATGCACAAAACCAACGGAGAGCAGAAGGAAGACTGGGAGAGAGAGAAAATGTATGGAATTGCAAAAGCTGACAAATGAACGGATAAAGAGAGATGTATTTGGAGTAGAAAAAATGAGGGGTTTAAATTTGAAAAAAGGAATACCGTGTAGTACTCCATTAACGGGTTCAGAGCCACACGCAAGTGAAAGCTAAGAACTATTCACTGCTACAAGCTTTCGAGTCTGGAGCCGATACTGTTTCTGGCCTGGCTGGAGGAGTATTAGGAGTGACATTGATGCTAATAAAACCTTTTCATTTCAGCATTTTATTTGGATATATGATTTACACAATTTTTTTCTGTCAAGCATGACAGGGCAAGGTAGACCGGACTTAAAAACATGTACACAGACATTCACATGACAGTCTTGTAGTAATTGAATGTATGTGCCAAAAGAAGCTTCACATTATCTGAATGAAAAGTGCTCTTAATATATAAATGTTAAAAAATAAAATGAGCTAGTAAAATGAGTTTAGAGAAAAAGTAAGCTCGCACACACGAAACAAGTGAACTTAAGGCAATCGCAACTAAAAACAACCGATTCAGCCCCCTGTACGCGAGTTCAAGAGGCACTAGGTTTCTTTTATCAGATTATTTTTACAAAAAATAAATAAATAATTGAGCTTATCAGAAAACCTTGTTTTTAGCCGTTTGAAATTTGAATTCAACCCTAAACGTTTTTTTGGCTTTTAAATGAATTCTTAAATGGATTTACATTAATCAAGTCTATTATGTGTTTGTCCCCACTGAGGATTTAAGCTACTTTATGTTCGTGTAATCGAAGTATAATGGTGTTTAATCCGGTGATTATGAGCCCAACGTTCATGTCTCTACCTTCGATTTATATATAGCTATGGGTGTAAATAGAATAATGTGCTAGCCTCTTGAGCTTTTGGGGCTTTCTTTCCTCATCCACTATGTTCTTCTTCATCTGAGTTTGCTAGTGTTTGATGTTCCGTGCCCTTGCGTTTTGCAAGACGTGCTTATTTAATCTTAGAGAATTCCCAGTCCGTCATCTTAGCGTGCTAAAATAGTTTTTAAAAATAATATCCTTCTAAGCATGACTCAAGCAGCTCACGATTTACCTCCATACCGCCAACAAGTCTAGACCAAAATGATCAAAAAGAGAACGTACATAAATGTAATAAAAAAAAATGCACAAATGTTTCACCATTAAAGCAAGACTTCATCCTGCTATCTTTACACCGTCTTCTTTTATAGTGCAAGAAAGTACAATTCTACCTTCATCTAATCTCCACTACAATCTTCTTGAAATTCTCATTCTCTTCAAAGAAGCAAAAAAATAGTTGCAAGCTATTAAATCTGAAAAATTGATGGTACCAAAAGTATAAACTTGCAACACGCTAGGGTTTGGACAAAAAAGCAATAGTTCACTTATATGACAAAATAGGGCAATAAAGATAAGATTCAGTATTGGCTTACCAGCTTTAGCAAGGTGAGAATATAAGAATTTATATGATGAAATAGGGAAACCAAACTTTCACCTCTAATCAAAGCCTTTAATGTGTACCAGAAATGATATTTATATCTCTTCCTTGTTTTTAACATATATAAATTAGTTGCTCCAACTAATGTGTACGCATTAGCAAATATGAAATATAAACACTGAAGCAATAGTTCAAAGTTTTAAACCTCATTTACATTTCAATTTGAAAAGCTTTTCCCATGAGGAATAAATTACACTTGAGCTTTTCAAGAAAATCTTTAAATTTCCTCCCCAAAGATGAACTTGTTTGTAACTTCTGCTCACAGTTTTTTGGCCCACAAGACATGGAAGTGTTGATAACAAAAGTTTACAAAATCCTATTACAGTTTGACAAGTAAAAATCTGTGAAAAAATTGTGTACAAAATGTTGATTGAAAATATATTATTCTTCATGATTTGCACTGGAGAAGAGAAATGAACCTTAAATGATTGTTTAAAACTAGAAATTATATTGCATAAAATTTAAAATCGGTAATTTAAACCAAACCTATCCAAAGAATTTAAGATCAAGTCCCAAAAAATATTAATTTTTAATGTTCAGGCTTATTCAGGAGGTCAGAATAGGCTCAAGAAAATTCAGATCCAATCCAATCAGCATCAAGCTTGGCCCGAATACCTAAATAAATAAAATAATTTTTTAAAAAATAAAAAATATAATAAATAGTAATTAATTTTTTAAGTTTTATATCATTTTATAATAAAATACTACATATTTTATTGTATTATTATAATTATTTTTTTAAAAATTTAAAATATTTATATTTTCATATCTTCATTATTATAAATTAATAAAATCTCTCAAAATAATATTTAAAATATATTTTAATATTAATTTTTATATTTTAAAATTCAATTTTGTTTTAAAATTTTTTGAATCCTATACATCATTTGCGTATCCAAAAAAATATATTTTATATTTTTTATAAAATAACATAATTAATTTTAAAATAAAGATAAAATTAAAAATAATTTTAAAAATAAAATTTGAACATGTATAAATTTTCAATTCTACTACTAAATAAACATAATAAATAAAATATTCTTGAATAATTATTTGATTATCATCTATGCTAAATTTGGTTAAAAATTAAGAATATAGAATAAAAAGTAAAAAAATTTTGTATGCAAGGGTTAAATAATATAAAAAGTTAAAGAAAAAACAATTCTAAAAATAGTACTTTACTCATAATCAAATGATTTTATTTTATATAATATAATGATGGTTATTTTTTATATTCTTAAAAATAAAAAGTACAGTTTACCCAAAAGTTATTAAAAACTTCAAATTAATTGAGACAATAATTTTAAATCAGTAATCTAATCATAATTGAATAGAGATCAACTTGATCATAATTAAAAAATATAATTTAATTAAAATATATAAAATTTATATATGATTATGACAAAAGCAATATTTAAATAATTAAGACATTAAGTTACAAGTAAAAAAAACATTCATGAATAAATTACTTAAGCACAAAATTGATAAATTATTATTTTTTATTTTATTCTTTCAAAGTTAAAATAATATTTTATGCCTAACAAAATTATTTAAAAAAATTAAAATTAGTTTCAAAAATAAAGAAAAAATATTTTTAAAAAGTTTTGAATATTTAGGCCGGCTTAAATAAGTTTGAAGTCCGAAAGTGTTAGATCTAAACTTAGCTATATAAGCTTTTCAAAAAAAGTAAGATACTTTAAGCTCGACTCGAATAAGCTCAGTCCAAATTGAGCCGACCCGAATAAGCCCGATTTACTTAAATTACTAGCTCTAATAAAATTGCCATTATCACATAAATAAAAAGCCGCTACCTTTCTCACATGAAGCAAAACATGGCAGGTAAAATAAGACAAGAAGAATATATCATGCACATGTTAAAAAAAATCAATGAATCTCTATGCTTAATACAATAGTAGTCTTGCTTCATAAGAGACGAAACAATATATCATCGAAATGGCATTAGTTGGGAGAAGAAAATGGCATGCAGCACAAGATAAAAAGTGCTCGTAACAAAAGTGTATATTAATAACCATTTGTGTGTAAATCTTCTCATGAGCAGGCAGGCCCATGCAACTATGTTGCTTGCAACAATGTCTGCACAAAAAAAAAAAAAATCACAAAAAGATTGCTTTTGCAGTGACAAAATCATTTCCAACATCTCGTCATTACAAATCCAGTTATAAATAATAATAATAATAAAAAACAAAACCATTTGTGTGTAAATCTTCTCGTGAGCAGGCAGGTCCATGCAACTATGTTGCTTGCAACAATGTTTGCACACAAAAAAAAAAAAAATCACAAAAGATTACTTTTGCAATTACAAAATCATTTCCAACATCTCATGTCATTGCAAATCTAGTGTTATGCTCTTATTCTAACAAACCATGCAATGTTTTTAAGGGTTTTTTTTTTTTTTACATTACCTGGTTTCTTCACATCCTGCAATAAGAAAATTCGAATCATGGCTTTGCAGAAAGAACCAACAGAAGTGCATATACAATTATGCAAGTTGATTGTGTGTTGTGGACGAAAATCATCTCAAGTAAAATGAACATACCCATCGAATCTTTTTCAAATGAAATAGAGTGTAATGCAATTGGCAAAAGTATTATGGGAGAATCACACCCAAGGATCGCTCAAGAAAGAAACTTATTTGACAATGACTAATAATCAGTTCTATTTGTGTTAAATCTTAATAACAAAGTAGGGAAGTTAATCTTTATCTAAATCTGGACAAGGATCTCGTTCAAATTAGATAAAGCCAAGAGGGAGAATCTCCAAATAAAGAGTCAAAAATCATCCATATCCATTCCTTAATTAACTTACAATTAAATAACACCATGAAGTGGCAGTTACAACCATAACTTGACAGCACACACAAACTGACGTCCTAACACTTGACAACTCAGCATTCTTAAGATGAGAAACATAAACTGCAATATTAAAATACTGACAGCACATAAGAAGTAGTTATTCAGCATGAATAACTCCCTTATCAACTAACTTCCTTGCTGTATTTTGATTTAAATCCTTCTTCCGTCTTTTATATACCAATAATGGACTTCCATCAGTATCCCCCCCTTTAAAAACAGCCTTGTCCTCAAGGCTGAAATTAGGAAATTGGTCCCGAATCAGGTCATATTCCTCCCAAGTTGATTCATCTTGAGGACGGCCAAGCCAAGAAACAAGTATTTCAAGGATGTTGGAGCTACCTGAAGAAATCCAGCGATGAGAAAGGACACTGTGAGGTTGTAACTGAAGCTCCCAAGCGTCTGAAAGTGGTAGAGGAGGTGGTGTGGAAGAAGAAGGAGTGCCATGAGCAGGGCGCAACCTTGAGACATGAAAAATTGGATGAATTTTGGCATCAAGAGGTAGGAGCAACTCATAAGCAACAGGTCCCACCTTACGAACAATTAGATATGGGCCAAAGAAGCGAGGAGACAGCTTCTCATACTTTCTCTTAGCTAAACTGAATTGGAAATAAGGCTGGATTCTTAGATAGACCAAGTCCCCATTCTTGAAGCAAATATCACGTCTGTGAGCATCAGCTTGAGCTTTCATTCTGGATTGAGCTTTGAGGAGGTTATCCTGAATAATCTGCAACATGGCATCTCGTTCCAAAAGTTGAGTTTCTAAATCAGCAACTTTGGTTTCACTAGACACATAAGGGAGAATAGGTGGAGGAGAACGACCATAGACAATCTCAAATGGAGTGAAGCCTGTAGTAGTATGAAAGCTAGTATTGAAAGAGTACTCGGCCCAAGGAAGATATTTACTCCATAATTTTGGTTGTTCATGTGCAAAACAACGTAAATAGGTTTCGACACAACGATTGACCACTTTTGTTTGACCATCACTTTGTGGGTGATAAGCTGTGCTCATCCGAAGTTGAGTGTGACTAACACAGAAGAGTTCTTGCCAAAAACTACTTAGGAAGACTGGGTCGCGATCAGAAATGATGGAAGTGGGGACACCATGAAGTCGGACCACTTCACGACTAAAAACGGCAGCGACGGACTTGGCAGTAAAAGGATGAGAGAGACCAATAAGATGAATGTATTTGCTAAAATGGTCAACCACAACAAATATGGTATCTATTCCACATGACTTAGGTAATCCAGCAATAAAGTCCATGGAAACATCTTCCCAAATACGACATGGAGGGGGAATAGGCTGAAGTAATCCTGCTGGAGACAAAGTTTGATATTTTGAAATTTGGCACTCATGGCAATCTTGAACATGCAGCTTGACATCTCGCTTCATATGAGGCCAAAAGAAATGAGTTTGTAATCATTTGAGAGTACGAAGGTATCCTCCATGCCCCCCTATAAGAGATGAATGTGCATCTGCCAACAACTTGGATTTAAGAGTAGGATGATCAAGAATGACTAAACGCCCATCATAAAACAATTTCCTCCATTGACCAAAGCATAATGTTGAACAACAGTAGGGTCTTGAAGAATGGATTTTTTTAATGTGTTGAGTGGAAGGATCTTGATCAATCCATGCTTCGATATCATCAAAATCTGTACTATGTGGAATAGCAAGAGCCATAAAATCAGCATGTTGAGGTCGGCGTGAAAGAGCATCAGCACCACTATTATTACAGCCACTCTTATGTTTGATGGTAAAATCAAAGGGTAACAACTTCATTATAAGCCGCTGTTGATCCGGAGTTGAAAGTCGTTGATCCATTAGATATTGAAGACTGTAATGGTCAGTATAGATATCAAAATGGCAACCAAGGAGATAATGACGCCACTTTTGCAGAGCTAATACGAGAGCTAATAATTCTCTGTCATAAGCAGATTTGACACGATTAGAAAATGTAAACCCTTTACTGAAGTAGGCAACGGGATGAGTATCCTGGATAAGGATGGCACCAATGCCTAAAGTTGAAGCATCACATTCTACGATGAAGGGCTTGTTGAAGTTTGGTAAATGGAGAATAGGTGCATTAATTAATGCATGTTTGAGTTTATGAAAAGATTGCTCTGCCAAAGAAGACCAATGAAAAGCACCCTGTTTGGTGAGGTCATGTAACGGACGAGCAAGTTGGCCATAATGATGCACAAATCTTCTATAATAACCTATAAGACCAAGAAATCCCTGCAATTCAGTAACAGTAGTCGGATTAGGCCATTCCAACACAGCTTGTATCTTGGAAGGATCCATAGCAACCTCTCCAGATGAGATGACATGCCCTAAAAAATCTATCTGAGGTAGACCAAAAGAGCATTTCTTCCCACGAGCAAAATAAGCATCCTGTTGTAGTCTTGAGAGGACAGTACGAAGGTGTACTAGATGGTCAGCCATTGTAGGACTATAGACTAGCATATCATCAAAGAAGACAAGAATAAAACGCCTTAAATATGGTCGAAAAAGATCATTCATAGCAGATTGAAAGGTAGCTGGAGCATTAGTGAGACCAAAAGGCATGATTGTAAATTCATAATGTCCTGAATGAGTACGAAAGGCGGTTTTGTGAATGTCATCAGGTTTAACTCTAATTTGATGATATCCGGAACGCAATTCAATCTTTAAGAAGACAGTAGCCCCATGTAACTTATCAATGAGTTCATCAATATTAGGAATGGGGTATTTGTCAGGAATAGTTAACTTATTTAATTCTCGGTAGTCAATGCAGAATCTCCGAGAATCATCTTTCTTCTTGACCAATAATACAGGACTTGCAAACGGGCTTTCACTAGGTTGTATAAAACCCTTGGCTAATAAATCTGCCACCTGGCGTTCAATTTTATCCTTTTGGTAATGTGGATCTATATGGGCGAATATTTGGTGGTGTAGCCTGAGGTTGCAAATTAATAGAATGGAACTTGTGCCGAAGAGGAGGAAGAGCCGAAGGAGTATCAAAAATAGAAACATACTCATCAAGAAGGTGTTGTAACGACTGTTGAAAGGCGTCTGAGTCTATAATAGGTTGTTGAGACATCGAATGCAAACATGCTTCTGCTTGGTTGCCAGTGCGGACTCCTTGGAGTTTGTACCTTTTGCCATTGACCCAGAAAACCATGAACATCCGTTGCCAATTTGCTTGAACTGTATTTAGAGAAGATAACCACTTGATTCCCAATACTAGATCAACTCCACCCAAAGAGAAGGGAAAAAATTCTTCAATAATTTCCAATGATTGAACTCGTAAGGTGACTTGAGGACATATGTTATTACAATAAATTATATGCCCATTGCCAATTTGAACTCCAAAAGAAGGAACCAGTTTAGTAGGAATCTGCAAATTTTGCACCAATATAGAAGATATGAAGTGGGTGGAACCACTATCAATCAAAATAAGCACTTTATGATGATTTACGATGCCTTCCATCTTCATGGTAGTACTCGCAGGGTGTCCTAAAATAGCATGAAGTGATATCTCTGCATGCACTTCTTGTTTGCCCTCTAAGTTCATTTCTTCAGACCTCTCTGCTTCTGTATCAAGTTCTTCAGTGATCTCCATGAGAGTCAAATTAGCATTTTTGCAGCAATGGCCTGGAATAAATTTATCACCGCAACGGAAACGGAGTCCCTTATCTCGTCTTAACTATTTTTCTGCATCCCAGTTCGTGTTTGTGCGCTGTGAAAAAGTGGAGGAATTAGTCGAAGATTGTGCTGCTGTTGTACCTGTCGTGTGAGTGTCTTTTGAAGGCTATGTGGTTGCTGCGTGCGTGCGACTGCCCTGGGAAGTTCCATAAGTCTTAGGAATTTTTGCAAATTGTAATTTGGACTCATATTCTAAGGCTAAACTCAAGGCCTTGTAAACAGATCTGGGCTTTTGAATTCTAACATCAGCCCGTAATTCTTCTTTAAGCCCATTAAGAAAAACCCCCAACAAACAATGTTCTGGCCAATTTTTTACTCTAGCAGATCTCTTTGCAAATTCCAGTCGATACTCTTGTATTGTTCCAGATTGCTTAATTCCACACAAGAATTCATCAGGGTTTTGAAATTCTGCAGGACCGAAATTCTCCTGAAGAGTGCGCACAAGATCTTCCCAATAAATTATTGAGCGTTCAGAAGTTGCCCATGCAAAAAGATCTAATGCGTCACCTTCTAAGTACATGGCTGCAACATCAACCTTCACATCCTCGGGAGTTTGGTAATATTTGAAATACTTTTCTGCTTTAAGTATCCAACCTCTAGGGTTGCCTCCATCAAACTTTGGAAAATCAACATTGGTATGTGGTCTCCTTGTGGGGTTTCGAAGCCACCAAGGTATGCTTCTCTTGTCTTCTTCATCTGCTGCAGAGTATGAGTTCTCGGGTTGTTTGCCTTTGTTTTGAGAAGATTGCCCAGCGTCATCTAAGATATGTTGCTGCTGTAATTTTACTGTTGCTATTTCTGTAGAAATCTTATCCACCACATTGAAACAAGAAGAAAGTTGATTTAGTTGTTGGACTATAGATTCTAATAAATTGGAGGTTGCTGGAGGAGCAGTGGGATCGATAGAACTGTTTCTAGTACTCACCATCCTGGGGAAAACCAGGCTCGGATACCAAAAATGTTAAATCTTAATAACAAAGCCGGGAAGTTAATCTTTATCTAAATCTGGACAAGGAACTCGTTCAAATTAGATAAAGCCAAGAGGGAGAATCTCCAAATAAAGAGTCAAAAATCATCCATATCCATTCCTTAATTAACTTACAATTAAATAACACCATGAAGTGGCAGTTACAACCATAACTTGACAGCACACACAAACTGACGTCCTAACACTTGACAACTCAGCATTCTTAAGATGAGAAACATAAACTGCAATATTAAAATACTGGCAGCACATAAGTAGTTATTCAGCATGAATAACTCCCTTATCAACTAACTTCCTTGCTGTATTTTGATTTAAATCCTTCTTCCGTCTTTTATATACCAATAATGGACTTCTATCAATTTGAGGAAAAGCAAATCCATATTCCCATTTTGAATAACAATACAGAATTCTGTATTGATCTTTGCATTACTAAAAAAATACTTTTTACACTAACTTTAGAACTGGTGTGTAGAAAAAGGGGTGTAGAAAGTTTTGACTTTTAAACTTTCTAAATCGGTTATTGAACCGGTGTAGTATGTATACTTTCTACACTAATTATAACTAAAATCAGTATAGAAAGTCCACTTTCCACACCTGTTGTCTTTTCAACCAATGTAAAAAGTTAACTTTCTATACCTATTCTAATCACAACTAGCATAAAAAATGTTTTTTTACTAAAAAATGGTCGCACCTTTTAGATTGGAGGTAATTTCATAATGACTTCCAATCCAAAAAAGTGCCTCCTTTTTTACTATTACATATTTTCTAATAAATATCATAAAAAATAAATTTCATAAATTCTAGTCATTACATGATTTTAATAATACTCACAATATTTAAAATACAATAAATTTCATAATTTAAACAAGAAGGAGCCTATTATCTATTTAAATCACCATACTTGGTTGATCCTGTAATGAAAAAAATGCATATATAAGTAAATGGTAAAAGAATATAAAAACAAATGTCAACCTATTAATAATAATAATATCAAAAACACAAAAGCTTGCTAATGACGGATAATAATAATAATAATAATAATAATAATAATAATAATAATAATAATAATAATTACTATGAACAACCTAATAAATAGTAAAATATGAAAGAGATCTAACGATTAAGATACATGTCAGATATCACTGAAAGGACTAATAATTAAGATGCCACAGAATGATAAAATAAAAAATTGCTAAGATCTGTAACATCACTACTGCATATAACATTCCAGATCCAATCATACAAAGGTATGCAATAACTAAAATAGAGAGCAATCCTTCTCGGCCCAAAAGACTGAAATGAAAAGGTATAGATATAATATATGACAAAACCAATTTCACAGTGTCAAATCAGAAAATAATGCTAAACCCCTTCACAATTATACAATAACAATATACAGATGATTAAAAAATAAAAAACAGAACAGTATGTTTCCATGATTCCATCCTCCACTAATCAAAATCAAGATCCAACTATAGTATCAACAAAGAGCTTATGTTTTTAGACCATAGATTAACACTCAATGCTTCATTGCAAAAAGCTTGTGTATCCATTTACCTTATTTTGGGTTCTCTAACTTGTGTCTGCTTGTCGGACTTTTTATTTCCAGTCTATTGCTGCCTAATCTGGTTCCAGAGATCAAAGGATGCATGTGCCACCTGTTAAGAAAATACATAAAATTTCAATGTCATATTAATTAATTTCAACTACCAAATTTCAATTCTTACATGCCACTTCAATTTTGAGGCCAAGGAGTACTGGAAAATCAAGAAGGGCCAAGATGCAAATGAAAAACCAGACACACATAATAGATGAAATTTGGACTTGGGAAGTTATGCGTAAATCACAAGCCATGTCAAAGTGTGTGTGATGATAGTGAGAGTGACAAATATAAAAAGAAATGCTAAATTGAATAATTTGCTCAAGAAATTATTGACCTGATTATGCATGTCTGAAACAAATCTGGCACTATGACACTAAACTACTTCAAAATTTTGTTAATTCGTCAATGGCTTTTTTATGGGAAGTATAGGAAGAAGTATAGAAACCATGAGCAAGAGATGACTAGATCTCCTTTCTAGTAGCGTCAGGGGATGTCATTCTATTTCAAACAGAAGTATAGATTGGTTCAAATTCCATTAAATTGCAATCAATTGGTCATTTGTCTAATTATAACCACACAAAAAAAAAAAAAATTAAAGTTACAAATTTGTAAAAAAATATTACCAAACTAGTTCCATCCATTTCAGTCTTTGCAATTTTTCTGGGAGATATTCTGTAGTCAACGTCCAAAATACACCCACATGTTATAATCAACACTTTGAACTACAAGATCTTTAGCCCTTTCTTCCCGTGAATGTAAATATCATGGTTAACACTTTTAAAGAAGATATCAAATAATAATAATAATTTCATTCCTGTTGGACAAACTAAAAATACATTATAGAATTGGCAAATAATAAACCACTTACAAGAAGAATGAATGCTAGGACGGGATTTTGAATACTTGTTTGCTGTCTCGTGAAGCAATTCTTCAAGCAACTTACACTCCTTTAAATTGAAAATGCAGATGAAATATAAAACACAAACATGCAAACAAGCATTCCCATAAACACACGCAAACATGTAGACTAAAGAACTAAATTCTAAAACAACAAATACAATAAAATACCAAGCACGCCTTTAATCAGCAATAGGCGTGGAAGTTTTTCATCTTAAAACGACATATCACTCCAACTCGATGGGTATGAAAAATTGGCACATCATATTGAATAGACTTTATTCATCTCGACCCGGAGTAGAAACAAAACCCAAAAAAAAAAAAAAAACTGATAAAAAAGTTTGTAACTAGACATGATAAATTGTCAGGTCCTTGGAATTTGAAAATTTATATTTGAATGATTGTGGAGGGATATGGGCGTGGGTGGGGTAGTCAATAATTGGACATAAGCAGCACACAAATTAATGCCTTATCTTCTATAATCTCCAAGTACTAGGAAAATTTTACACCGAAACACAATAAAAAGCAAGGTTTAAGATTTAATAATGCGAAAACGCATTATACCACTTGTAGGCGCAGATTCGGAGACTTGAGCCATAATTTCATTCAATTATGAAGAATGAGGAATTGTAATCTTACAGCAATATAAGGCAAGGTTTAAGATTTAAATCATTTCACAGCCATCCAATTTAAAACTTCAACAATCATTAGCTAAATAAAGCATGATTAAACTTGAAATTAACTAAAAAAAATCACCTTCAATACAACTAAATGCAAAATAAAATTCTAAAAAAAATTGATAAAATCTCTGATAAAATCTCCCCTAAAAGTTGGCCTTTCAATATTTGTACAACTAAAATCAACAATTTTTAAATCATCTTATAGTCCTCCAATACAAAACATTCAGCAACCATAAACTAAATAAAGTCTGAAAACAACCCAGATGAAAAATTCTAGACATTAATGCACAAACAAAAACAATAAATAATGAAATTAGATCTTGAAATCACATCAAAAATCAAATAGAAATAATTAAAAAAATAAAAACAACCCACATATGTCAGATGAGCTTCAACCCACTTCCATCGAGAACAAATTCTTGAGGAATTGGGGGCCAGGGGCGAAGGGGTTGGGGTTTTTGTGTGTGGGTAGTGGCAAATGAGTTGTGGGAAGGGGAGGGGGGTGAAGGGGTAGGCAAACTTGGGGGAAGGCTGAAGAGCTAGGGGATTTAGGGTGTGCTAGGTAGGGGATTTGGTTGGGGGAATTTGGAATTTTGGGGGGGGGGGGTGACGAATGGGTTGGGGGGATTTTGGGATAGGATGGGTTGGACGTTACTTGAGATTGGGGATTTTTTTTTCTTGGGGCTGGGCAAATAGGGGACGAAGGTTGGAAAGGGGAGAGAATCTGAGGAGAGTGAAGGATTTTGAGGGGGTCGACGGTGAGAATGGGAGAGGGAGCGGGTGAGGGGAAGAGAGAAGGTGAGAGAGGAAATGAGTTCCGGGGCTAATGGGCTTCAAAAAGAGCGATAGGAGGGGGTTTTACACCGGGTGGCGTTTTGCTCGATGTAGGAAGTGCTCCATTTTTTATTAAACAAAAAAAAATTAAGGCATTTTTCACACTATTAAGAGAACATTTTGTTTTTGGGGAAAAATTATCAATAGACAATCTACACTGGGTAGACACTTAACCAGTGTGAAAACAATTTTTATTTTTTCATATATTTTTTTAATTTTCAAATTTTTTATTGATTATTTATGAAACCAGTGTAAAAAATACTTTTTACATTAATTATTAGCGGAACTGGTGTAGAAAGTGTTATAACAAGTTAATTTATTTATAAAAATATCACCACACATCACACACACTTTTTACATCAGTTCTTTTTTAATCGATGTAGAAAGTGGGTGTAAAAATTATTTTTTACAGTGATGTTGTTTGTGAATAATTTCTTAAGCAGTTCTTGGATATGATTCTCCCAAATATCATCAACGATCATGGCATGCCTTGAATAAACCAAACAAATTAGCCCCTTCTCATGTAAGGTTCAGCATTATCCACTTTTAAGGTATCCAAGTAGATCACTATCTCAATGTTTTAAGTATCATGATTCATTACAACTCAACTCCATAATAAAGGAGAATAAATGTTTGACGCAACACAGCATATGCAGAAAGATTAAAACTTAATCATGCCTAATGCAAATAAAGTTTATTCTCTTGCTATTAGAATTATAATGAATGAGCCTCAATGATTACATTCAGAAATCAATCATATCCTTTATCCTTGCTTGAAGATTGAAGTACACAGATTTTAGTCAGGCCACGACAACAATAGCAATAGAAAGGACAAAGATATATATAACAAATCACAAGAGAGTAAGCAAGCCTAAATAAACATCATTTAGATTCCAAATAAAAAAGATTTGATACATTATATAAAAAAGATCTCTGACCAACCTTCAGGACATTCTTGACATCCCCTAAAGAACTAACAAATCATTGCTACCAAAACTCACATAAAACTGTTTGCCAAGCATTAAGTTAATTAAGGTACAATAACTAATGGCAAACATAAATAATGAATGCGGAAGATACATCCCTTTCACGTCGTAGCGTGATACAGAGACCAACTAGAAGATACAATAAGTAATGACAAATGTAAACTGAAAATATGAAATTTAGTTGGAATAAACTTACCTATGTAACATCCTGAATTTTTTAATCCCGTGATTACCTGTTAATCGAGGGTAAAGTAATAATTAATGTGGGATTAGAGATTTGGATGGTTAGTTGATAATTCGACTCATTAGGATGTTCTATGAACAGATATGGGTGGAAGGATTGCATTTTAGGTTGAAGCAAGTACACATGGTGAGAATTATTTTCACTGTGCCATGCGTCGCGGCTTATGCTGCATGCACCATAGCACATGGATCAGACAATGACCCTTTGAGTCGTGAAATCTGGGTGAATTTTGTAACACCCTCAAAAATACAAACCAATTTTTTGCAAATTATTAAAACCATTATCATGGTAGAAAATTTTCTTACCATGATACATCCAAGACATAACACAAGTCTTAAAAGATCCAAAAAGGCAATTAAAACCATGAGGGACAGACATAATCCTCATGGTCATATAAATACTTTTAATAAAAAGGATTAGAGTTTACATGCTTCACAAAGAAGATATGTCCTAAGTTTGCACAAGATACATTGTATAATCCAAAATAAGAGGCAACGTAAAAGATGGTGTTTCATACACCATAGTTACACCTCTGGTGCTTTCTCGGCCGGACTCGCTCCTGTAAAAATATTAACCACGGGGAATGAGACTTAAAAGTCCCAGTAACCAAAAATTAATATGTAATGATGCATGCGGATGTAACTAATCATGCGATTGCTAAGTGGGCACACAAAACATTTAACCGAACAATATTTTTAAACAAACCGAACAAGTATTTAATTTGCATGACTGCACCTTATATCCTCTTTTCACCATGCTCGGACACCAAATCACCCGGCCAAAGGTGAGTTGGACCAAGCGACACGCCACTCATTGGGTCCAACGAGGGCTTACCACGTGGTAATAATTAACCGAACAGAAATTTCCATTAACACCATACATTAAAATACCCTGACAAGTCATGTATCATTCAAATATCTAAACAGAAATATATCCGAACAATAATATCTCATCATGATAAACAAAAAAAATAAATTTTTAACCCACTTGGCAATGATTTCACAGAAGTATATAACAGTATTTATTTTCAATAATTCATAATTTTTCCAAACAACAAAACAACACATAACCATTCACAAACACACCCATCACAACACATTAATAATGGTTACCTTGTGTCTTGAATAACAAGTTCCCCTTCACAACTCCTTTTTCACCACTATCTTTGTCAATATAATCTACATAATTATTTCACAATACTATATATTAATTTTACATTAAAATAAATAACTCTAATTTAAATAGTTAGAAAGTCTTAGATCTATAATCCATATTAACACTAATTTAAGATTTATGCCTCATTTAACTTCTCAAATTCTTTTCTAAAATTCTCGTACCCTAATAAACTATTTTTTTATCCTCAAATCACTTCTAGTATCACAATTTCATCCTTCTATATTCTAAAAATTCGTCCAAAAATAAATTAAAAATTTTAAAATTATCCTGAAGCCTCAAATCACCTTTCTATAACCTCAAAAATACCTATTCATACTTAAATAAATATTTAATAATCATAGGTTTATCCCTACATCTCAGATTCCACATAAATTCAACCGTATAGATTTAGATTTTAACTCAAAAATTCTTAAACATGAGTTTCAACTTCAAGAAAATATTCTATAATATTTATTATATCCCTAGGAGTTTTAACCTATATTTTTAATCCATCATATCATTAGATTAACTATCTTATAGAAAAATTCTAATCAAAATATTTACTCTATCCTACAAAATAATCATATCACTAGAAAGCTAATATTATTTAAAAATAACTATAAAATTAATTTTGTAATTAAATAAATTTTTAAATGCTAATCTAAACAGGAAAGTTAGAACATACCTGAAGAAAAAGAAAATAATCCCCCCTTGCGAGAAAACGCCGAGCAACGTGAGAGGAAGAGAGAAAAATAATATAAAAATGGGATTGTGAGTCCCAAAATTATATTAAAAAAAACTATAGGTTTGAATTTAATTATTCAAACCTTTGGGCCAAAAGTTGCAATTTCCTCTAAATTGCATCTTAGCCTCTCATGCTTCCTAATGCACACACCCCCTCCTTTTTATATATGAAGGCACCTCTTCTCTTCCCTCATCTAACCAATGTGGGACTTAGAAACAACAACCTTCCACCCCCCTTTTTATTCCTTCTACCTTCTCTTTTTTTTAACACACACATAAAAAAATTATTTATGTATTATATCTTAACTAAATATTGCTTATGTGGTTTTAAATTTAAATTTTTAAATTTATAATTAAATACCTAATCATAATATTATTTCTAAATAACCTCAAATAATATAAATTCCTATTATTATCATTTTTTTCCTCAAAACCTAAATTCCACAATTTCTTTATTATATAAAAATCAGGATGTTACAAATTTCAAAAAGGTAGATCTGAAAACACATGAAAGGAGAAGAGAAGAAGGGTAGGTCACCTAGGGCAAGTCATTTCAGGTCATTGAATAGTGCTTCTGATTGATAACTTAGCGGGTAACCTATATATAACCCTTACCTTCCATTCTATCCAAATTTGTCTGAATATGAGTTATAGGGAAATTGAATCAGTGAAATTTTAAAGGCTTGATTCTTGCCCAATGGTATTAAAAAGGTTTTTAGGAGCTAAATTAGAGCTTTGTAATTGGTTTAAAGCTAAACGATAAGCTTTAAACCCATATGCTCAATTTGGCCTTGAGAGAGAGAGATTTTAGGGTGAAAATCCGGTTTAAGTGAAATGAGATCAGTTGAGATGATGTAAAGTAGTAATTGACTTAGAATGGATAAATGGAAAATAATTTATAGCTAAATATAACCATAAGTAGTAAAAATGTGTTTTTAGTCAAATTGGATCAAATGACTAAATTGTGCCAAATGTATTTAGATTGGCATATTGAGCGTATGACTTGAGATAGGAAGCTTGTAGTAAGCTGTAATGGTGGTTGGAATCCACGAGTAACCTTTTTAATGATAGAAGGGTTGAGGTAACCGAATAACTTCCTTTGTTTGATTATTTGTTGTAATTATGTATAAGTATGTTATGTAGTGTATAAAAGTGTTTTGAACTAAGTATGTTTTATAGCATTGTGTGAGTATTGCATGAAAATGGTTTTTGAGCAAAGAAATGAGTAAGAAAATGTGATTTCATTGGTATGTATATATATATGTTATGTGTAAGAAAGTATATAAAGTAATGATTAGGAACCTATGTGGTTCAGAAAGCATGTTCATAGGGGTGAGAGTTCAGCTGAGTAGAGAAGTGATAATAAGATCATGTGGTATATTCTTTTTAGTACCCAACGAGGTGTGGTGTTGGAGAATTATAACTCCTTAGTACCTTTTAAGGTGTGGTGTTGGAGAATATCTCCTTAGTGCCTATTAAGGCGCGACGTTAGAGATTTGGGACTTCTTAGTATTTGTGTGATACAGTATTAGAGTCAATGACACTTTGTTGTGTGTATTATGGGAAACTATAGTTTAAAAGTAAGATAGAACACCTTTAGCCAGGTAATTTTACAACCAAAGGTAAGCACATGGCCAATGAGAGTATGCATTAGTTTAAGGCGAGCCTATAATTTTGTGTCAGGGTAATTTGGAGGTTTAGTCGGTAATGATCATGCTATGTGATGCTATATATTGCTATATATTGTAAAAGAGGAGAAAAGTAGTAAAATAAGTGTAAAAGAGATGAAATGATTGATATGAGTGATATTTGAAATGAAATATGTGATATGTGATATTAAAGGATATATTATGTTTTACTTTCATGTAGGTGCACGTGATAATTAATAAGAGTGAGTTATTCTATTATTGAGATTTTTATTTCACCCTCATAGTTATATGTTTATAGGACAGAGCAGCGATCAGAGCAAGGAAAAAGAGTCTGGGCCGGCTTAGAGTTCTCAAAGCTGTGTGAACTCTGAGTTTGTGTAATGAACTGAGTACTTGTGTATATTTATGAATATGAGTTGTCATAGGGTTACATGTATGTATTGAATAGTGATTTTGTGAAATCTTAGCCCAATTGTGTATATTTGTATTGAAATGAGAATTAAGGGCTAATATTTAGTTACGTATATGGTAAATGTTGTAAATATTGATGAATCTTAAGCCCATGTATGAAATTATGATGAAATAAGTAATTTAGGGCTAATATTGAATTGTAAATATGTTATAAATGTGGTTTCATGTGAATGAGTAGAGAAAAGGGCCAAGTAGGCCAAGTGGTGTTAAAATATGTTAGATTGTGAAAACTTATGAAATGTGAAAATTGACTGTTAAGGGGTCAAATTTCAGTATGTGTGTGTGTGTGTGTGTGTGTGTGTGTGAGTGATATACTATAGTTAATCAGCTGTATTAGGTCCTTTTGAACTTGATTCAAAGTCTTGTGTGGTCTAATAAGAAAAAGGGATTGATTTGAGTATTTGAGTGCACAAAATTTTTAGAAAAAGTGACTTTTTAGATCCCAGTGTCTAAATTTTGATCAGACCGTTAGATTGTGTCCAAACCTATCTCATTAGCTATCTTATAAGATAAGCTTCATGTTGGATCTTGAATCACTCCAATCGAACATTGTATGTGGAAATGACGTATGCTAGGAGTTCATCTTTTTGCTGTCAACATGATAGCAAAAATTTCGGACAGGCGAGTCACGGTGCATGATTTCACATGCCGCGATGCATGGCATAAAAAGTTGGGTGTATGGCTCTATGCCACATGCCATGGTGTATGGCTCATTTTCCAACTTGATTTTCTATTTTTAAGGCACGCAATGAGTGTTGTGAATGCATGTGATTTACTTCCATTGTGTATTGATCGAATGCATTATGATTTTGCAAAACAAGTCTTTGGTCCAAGCTTTTTAAATAATTTACTTGATTTCTGATCGGTGTTATTGATGTGGTGATTTAGTTAATCTTTTCCTAAATCGGGCGGATATGGGTGAATGTTACAAAGAGCCATAAAAGACATGCAAGCTTATAATCCTCCACCAGTAAGGTATGTTGAAGAACAAGGAGACATTAATAAGTGAGCAATGTCACGATTCCATCACACGAGATGGGACAATATAACATTAAATCTAGTCAAGTCATATAATGCATGGCTCATGATTGAGAGGAAAAACCAAGTTTTTGCTGGATAGGGAGGAACAATAGAATATTAAAATTTTAAAATCCCTATCTCAATATGGATCGAACGAACTTATTTAAGTTAAGGTGAATATAAAATTTCCTTTTAGATGTCGAACTTTAGTCCTTCCTTCAAGTGTTTCAGACCTTAAGAGTTGAAAACAAGATTAGCTCCCTATACCGGTATCCACACTAACAGATCTCCACTTAAATGGCATGCTAGAGCTCTAATTGTCTATCTATTTTCTTAAACATCAAACGTTACTTTTCTCTAGGGTGTTTCCATGGTTTTCACTGTGTGTTGTTGTCAAGACTTTTTTGACTCTCCTCTATTAGTAACTCATGTCCCCTTATTCTATCATATGTATAGATTAGGGTTTTTAGACTTTCTCATATGAGCCAATGGAAAAATTAGATTAAATTTATCTCATAAATAAAATTTACATATCTAATTTGAATCTATTTGATAAATTCAAATTAAAGAACTCATATGATATTTTCATATATCAAGTTAGTTATTAAATTTAATTTTAACATATAAAAATAAATTTAAAACTAACATAATAATATAATATAATATATATATATAAATATCAGATATACATATTATATTATACATATACATGGATATACATATATTTCAAAAATATATATACATATGTTATATATGTTGAATTTTATATATCACACACATACACACATACGCACACACGAATATATATATATATATATATATATTGTGACCAAATAAATTTTCAAATATATATATAATTCGTTTACCCTAGGTAAAGCATTGTATTCATTGAATCTAGACACATTTCAGATTTAATGAATTTGAAGATCATAGCTTGAGTTAGGTTGTTCTTGTGTGCGACCTTGTAGGCCTATATGAAATTGGCAGTAAGTTAATAACGCTATTAGCCCACAAGTTACAAGTGGCCTTTAGCAAGACATTGCTACTACTCAATTCATATGAGGATCGATGATCCAATATAATCTATCATATAACCACATCACATCCCTTTTATCACGCAATATTTGGGTTAGGTGTGAGACATGAAATTATCATTTTTTTTTTACCTGACTATTACTTTCTCGATCTCTAAATGGACTGACTATAGCAATAGAAAAACCCTTTCTATTGTACTTTAGCCATATATTTTCTTAGTCTTACTTATTGAGGAGCCCAATAACATCTTTCAATTAATGTGAGGGACAAATTTTGTCTTGACCACTCATATTCTTCTGTATAAATATCACTAAACTCAATCATAGCTTTCATGATCACTCGATTAAAGGTAGCTTTTGACTAGGTCAAAGTTCAATTATCATCATATAGGAATCCATGATGATATTGAGTCAAAGGGCTTAGTGATATACTTACGTATGAGATAAGCTTATGACTTGTATCATGCAGCTTTCTTATAGTAGGTTAGTCCAGCACCTTAAACCCTTTCAAGTGTTTATGACTTTGATTTATATTTTTATAATTAATCAAAGTTATACTAGTCTTGTTTCATTTATGATCCTTAATAGATGGCCAACCAAGGACATTTAGGATAATTATTATATTTTATCCAATGATATAGTTATCATAGTGAACATACAATTAATATGATAAAAAAAGAGAAATTCATTAAATAATAATGTTCATATTACAATGATTGGCCTAAGGGCACAATTTTTAATAGTTTTTACATTGATAACGGAGCATTGAGAGAAGCTTGCTAATAAGTTGTTTGCTATGTATGATGCAATAGCTACGTGGTCTAATATAGTGGGACCATGTAATGTCCTAGTGACATTACCATTCAACCTTTCGCTCAATCTACTTAACTAATTAAAACCATTTTCTTTGAACGGTTAGGATCCTAATATAAACATTTGTAAAACCATTTCTTTAA